TACCATATTGAAAAATATACTATTTTTGTATGATAATTATGGGTTTTGTATTTTATTTTAATAGAAGTTGATGTTGCTTTTGCAATTATCCATCAATTTTTTAAAATTAAACACTATCTACAGATTTGCATCGAAGCGTTTCTTATGATAGTGATTTTAATCACTGTCAGATTAAATCTATACTGGACCCTACTATGCAATGTCTCCACTATGCCGCGACCCCACTGTGTTACTTAAATTTACTCAAAAATTTTTTTTTACTTTTGTAGTTGAATACTTTTATTATATCAAATCTAATTTGACAATAAATACTTTAAAAATATTAGAAATGAATGATTTTAATTGTTTGTATGGATAATGCTAGTTAAGCTACTTTTTATTTGACTGAGGGATTTTTTTTTAATTTTTGAGGGTAATATCCTCAACTAAATACGAATTATAATCATTTGACATATTGTTGAAAAAAGGAAGTTAAGTGTGGGTTGGAAAAATAAATCGCAGCCACAAAAAAAAAAAATACCAAGTAAAATATTATTAACATGAATACGAAATTACTCTCATGAAGGGAGACTACAGTGATCCTTGTTATTTGTTGAAGTTATTGAATCTAAATGAGATAAAAATCAAATGATTTGAAAATTTTTGTCTAATTTAAAAAAATGCAAAATATTAATTTCCACAGGTGGATTTGAACCTAGTACTTTAAGCGTAAAAGACACAAGTGTTACTAATTCGGCAACTGTTTGTCGCTTTTGTCATTTGATAAAATTGGCAATTTAAGATAATTCAAATTTAAAGTTACTTTGTTTACTTTAAAAAAGCAAAAAAATTTAAATAAATTTAACTTCTTATGTCTTATGAAATTTATTCTATGTCAATTAAATTTTATAATATTCATGAAAGTCAGTGTATTCCCCTTGTAAGATATTTTAAAATACAATAAAATACAAAACCCAGAATTTGAACACAAAAATAGCCTATTTTAATAGGGAAATATTTTCAATTTTTATATGTAATGTCTTCAACTAGACACAATTTGTGATCTTTTGATATATTGTTCATCAAAAGCAGTCTAGTGAGTGCTGAGAAAAAGTGGTAACGGACAAAAAAAAAAAAAAGATATCATGGTAAAATTAATACCTTCTCTGCTTCACATCGAAGCTAAAATTTGAATGTCGATTTATTTTATCACCTTATTATTTATTTATTTTATCAGAAAAAAATAATATATTTTATGTTTTTTTAATCAAGTATATAAAGAAAGATTTTGAAGCTATCTGCAAAAAGCATAAAGTAAAATTAATGATAATCATTATTGCATATACAAAAACAAAACTTTTTTTTATTTAGGAATTAAGAAATACATTAATTACTAAATAATTTATTAAAATTATTATTTTTTATACATTTTATAACTGGTACTTAATAAAGTTATACTAAGTAAAACTTAAATTAAATAATAGGGGAATACTATAAATTGTAAAGAAATGTACCTTAAATTCTTCATCTTGTTGCTGTCTATCCTGAATTTTTTTTTCCCATTTTTTCTGTTCCTTTATTTCATCATCAATTTTTTTTTGCTCTTGTTTTTTAATCTCTAATTGTAACTCTAAACTATTTATAATTAATACAATTTTTAATCAATAAAACTGATATAATTAAATAAATCTAATACCTCTTTTGGTAATATGCTGGTGATGTCCATGTACTGAATTTGTTAGATTTATTTTGCCAAGTCTTAAAATATTGAGTAATACCTGCCCATTGTTCTTTAGCTTCATATTCAGCTGCTCTTTTTTTATGTAAAGCTTCATATAATTGTGCTTGGTTAGGCCGACGATTAAAACTCATCTTATATTAAAAAAATAAAATGCTAAGTCTTAACTTAGATTGGTCTCTATAAGATACATGAGAAAATAATATTAATAAATAATTAATTCAGTTTAACAATAACAGTAATTTAACAAACATTTTGTGTTGCTAAGGCCCAAAAGCATTTGGTCATAATCATTAATTATTGTCAAATACATTTGTATTTTTATTTTAAATTGGAAAATAAAGTAAAGAAAAGACTGTTTATAAAATATGAATTTATAAGTTAACATAAATGTACATTAAATAAAAACATACATATATATAAGTGTATTAATTTTAAAAATATATATATAATTAACTATATATATATATACAAAAAAGAAATTCATAATTTTTAAGAAAAAAAAATGACTATTTACATTATTCTTGTATCCATGGTACCCGAAATTATAACATGGATAAACAAAATATTCAATTGAATTTTACTAGAAATAATATTAATACATTCATAATCCTAAATGTTTAGATTAACTTAAATTTATCATTAAATTTAATAATGAAGTTAAAGGGGGTAAAGTTTTAACTAAGATTATATCAATCTAATTAGGTATTCTTGGTGTTATGAAATGTTTCAGTCATCTCATGTGTAATAAAAGAAATTTGTATAATAATTTTTTAATTATTAATTGGAAAATTTACTAATTTGATATGACTATTATTTATTTAAAAAAAGTATTATTTGTGTGTGATATATTTCAAGAAAAAAAAACTAAAACCTAAAATTGTTTAATAATTAAACTTTTTTTGGAAATACTTAAATATATATATTATATTTATCTAAAATTTTTACATAAGTTTTCATATATATATATATATCAACGAGTAATGAAATGTAAAATTTCTATAAAAAAAAGATCCATATGAAGAATTGATGACTGTAAACAAATAATAAAAAAATGTCTAAACAATAAAATTTCCAAAAATTGTTTGTCAACTAAAACTCTTCACAACTTAAAATTAAAAAGATTGATATAATGTTTTCTAAACATTTACGTAGATCAAAATTAACTAAAGATGATGTTATAAACCGAAGAAATTATTTTTAAACACTTACCAAGTAGATTTAAACAATACGTAGTTAAAATATTAAAAAATTATAGTATTTTTTGTTATTTCAGCTTTCATAATGATATAATTGATCATTATATATAACTAAATTATTGAAATTTTATCCACGTCAATCATTAAAAATGTTAGTAATAATTAAAAAAGTTTAAAAAATAAATGAATTAATAAAAGTGTCAAGTAATACATAAGAATTTTATAAACCCAACCAACATATTATTATTAAAACAGAATTGATAAAAAATATTTTATATTATTTTTTTGATTGGCTGACAAGTTTTATTGATATTAAACCGCTTAGGAAGATATATTATATTCAAGATTTTTTTATTGTGTTTGGCGGGATTAAGATTGTAGATAAATCTTATCTATACTATTACTTAAATATTGTATAATCATAGATAAATTTAATCTTATCTGTAGGATAATTTTGAGAATCACTATTTTTAGTTCCACAAAATGTATAGAATGTAGTAGTGTTTATTCTTAATGACTATATGATTTTAGCGTAGTCTAAAAATGTATAAATTATTTTTAAAAAAAAGGTAACACAAAATATTTTGTAAATCAAAAATTGTAAAAAATTTGGCAAAAACATCGTAGACCACTTATATACCTTTGGTTTCTTAGAAACCAAATAAATAAACCGTAAAACTGATTGGCAGAGTCGAATTAAAGGTAAATACATAGAGGCAAAAATTATTTGTATCAAATAACATTCCTCTGCATCGCTAAACGCCAAAAAAAGGGTTTCAAACAAAACTGATCTCAGCATCGTTAAAAATGTAAACATTCTAGGAGTTACAACTCTCAAAAGATTTTTTATAAATTTGTCATACATTATTATTGTTTACTTGGCATAAAAATTTAAAAAAATCACTCTAACTCTTCTTTCCAGGAATCAAAGATATATTCAGGGGCGTAGCCATGTGTAAATTTAGGAGTTGTAAATAAAAATGCAAAAAACATTTGTTAGAATGTCTTTTTTTTTGCCCTATAAGTCGCCTTTACCAATCAGATTTATGATATTATTATTAATACATTCCTTCTCAAGAAACATATTTTTGGGGGAAAGGGGTTGTGGACCCAAAACATTTTTTCGTGACTTTAGTAAACGTACAAAATTAAAAAAAAAAATTAAGTTAGATTTAATATGTTTAAATTCAAAATAAATATTTGCGAGTAAAAAATTACCCTAATTCTTGTAATTGTACAATGCACTACTAGATTATAAATTAGGCAATTTAATGTAGTGCAAATTTTCAAAATTATTTTTCCCAACTTAGAAGGTTTTGGCAAAAAAATCAAATTAAGTCTAACTTTATATTCAATGTAGATTATATTCATATAAAATTTATGAAAATAAGTAACCCCACTTACTACTCTTTGAACAGTATTTTAATTTAAAAGTATGTCGGATAAAAAGGACGATTTCAGCTAATTTAAAAACTCAAAGTCGTTTTTCTTAACTTAAGGAAGGCGAAATATTTTTAAATTAGTTTTAAGGTTATATTCAATGTAATTTAGATTCATGTAACTTATATGAAAATCGGTGGCTTCATTTCAATGGTATACCTTTGTAATAAATACAAAAAAATTGCCTAGTTTTACATTTTTTAAAAAGTAATAACAGTGTCAAATTGAAATTGAAAAATAAAATGCACAAAAAGACAATATCATATTGACTTTTTTTGGAGGGGAGACCTTAACTTTTTTCCATGACTTTGGAAAACGTACAAATTTGGAGATAAAAATAGCATGTTTTTAACTATTGTGCTATTTGCATATATAAGATAGGTCATCAGGACAAATTAATTTTTAAACTTATATTATGTAACATAAAATTTATTTTTACATATTTTTAATACACGGAGTAATCCCAAAACAATTTCAAAAGTTAAATTTTCGTCAAAAATTAACTATATTGGTCCCTCCCTGAGGGCAAGTAAAGGGTGAGATTTTCAAAAAATACATATCAAGTGAAAGGGAAATACGAAAGGTGTTTACAAAAATTTATTTTGGTTCGTTTATTTTTGAAAAAATTATGGCAATTTTAAGTACCAAAATAACTACATGATTGTTATTAAATTGTCATAAATTTTAAAAAAGTGACAGTAATTTAAAGTTGAAAATATAAAATCAACAATTATAACACAAAAATTGCATGTTTTTTTAACTATAGCGGTTATTTACACTTAAAAGATAAGAAGTCATGACAATCTTTTTTAATTTAAAGTACGTAACACAAGCTTTAATTTAATATATTTTTAAAAACGCAATATTTCCGGAACATTTTCAAAATTGAAATTTTGTGCAAAAGTTACTATTTTAAAACCCTTACTATAGGCAAGTTAATGGTCAGATTTAAAAAAAAAAAATTACCCAAAGAAAGGGAAGTACCTAAAATATTTATGTAAAAAAAAAATTTTTTTGGGTCGTAGATTTTAAAAAAAGGTTATGAAGTTTTAAGAAAAAAAAGTTTAAAAATTGATAAAATTTATCGATTTTAAAAATCGTAACTTTTGGAGGGTTTCCATCATTTACAGGATACGAGGGGGAATTTTTCATCTTTTTAGGGTACTGTCTTCAACTAGATACGACTTGTGATCATTTCACGTATCGTAGAGGAAAGTCAAAGACGATAAAATAGGTCCGGTGAGAGCTGAGAAAATTTCGTGAAAAAAAAATTAATAAACACGTGATTGTAAAATTAATATTATCTCAGCTTAGTATCGAAGCTAAAATTATTTTTGGCACTTTTGAGTTTCATATATTTCTTGATTTATCAGTTATTAATTACTCTTTTTTATTTATCTTTTATATCTTATAGGGGTGTCAAATTTATTTTTTAAAGGACAACATACTTATTTGACATTTGAAAATGACTGGTTTATAATAACTTTTGTATCATTACTAGACCCAACTAGATTAATATTTTTGGTCGTGTCACATTTTTTCCCACCCTAAAAAAAATTTTATGTAATAATAAATATAATTTTTAAATTCGATGCGAAGCTGAGAAGCTATTAATTATACTATGTGTTTTTTATTTTTGTGTCTATGAACGCTCAATCTCAGATTTCGCTGGACCGATTTTGATGAACAATATGTCAAAATATCACAAATCGTATCCCTCGTTCCCTTTTTTTTTTTTCAACGTTCGACATAGTGTTGGACGCCCTAGAACTACCGTAAGGTATTGCTTCAGGGCGCCAAACGTCGCATTAAAACTCACACCACCGTGTAGTGACTCAGCCCGAAATTAATCAAGAGCTGAGTCACAACATGACGTGGCCTCCCCCGTTAGCCGGACCCCAAAGAGGGATCCGTTGCCCAGGCCGCACCACGTGGAGGTGGAGGTAGGACTTTGCTATGGGTTGGCATAAAAATTCACGATAAACACTGAACACACAAATAGTGAGGAGGACAGGAGATACTTTATGTAGGGCTCCAACCCACCCTGAGTCGTGTCAGTCCGACCAGCGGTTGCAAGGCCCTAATGGTCACCTCGCACCACGCGAAGCGGCCCTTGCCGCTCCCGTGAAGTTGGACTGACACCGAACCGACGGGTTCCGTCACTCCATCTTTTGGGAGGATAACGGTCAACGCCCCTACGACGTCCTCTCGTCCACTCCTATCCACTCTTCCACGTCTAACAGCATGAACGCCACGGACATCCATGCCCTCCAGGGCCTCTCTGACCTTGGTGGCCAGCAGGTCGGCCTGGGCCCCGGTACCCCGAACCTTCAGGAGCACTGCTCTCGACTTGTTTCTGCGGGTACCGGAGACCACAACGCCCAGTGCCTGTAAGTCAACCACATTCATGACGGTTTTAACCACGGCCGAGTATTTTTGGTCCTCTTTGAGGGAACCAATAATGACAGCCTTAGTCCGCGGGGCCTTCGCCTTTATCAACGGTCTCCGAGTCGAGGCGGGGAGCCCGGGATTAGGGCGAGGGTCGACCACTGGCTTTGCAGTATTGCGCCTAGTGACCTCCGACCAGGTGACTGGCGTTACCGCTATCGCAGTTTGATGCGGCGGTTCCGATGCGCACGGAGCCACTACCGTCACCGGTTTATGGGCATTCTCCCCTCTCCGCTGTCTCCTCCGTCTCTTACGGACTCGTTTACCATTTCTCGCGGTGGATGGCTGGATGATGGGTGCCGCAATCGCGTTGGGACTCGTCGGCACGGCGGCCTCGGTGTCCGGGTCCACAACGACACTGACCGTAACCTCCGGAGGGTCCGTCTGCGTCGACGAATCGACGGTTGGCACCTCCTCCTCCGGAGTGCGGGTCTGCTCGAGATCGTTCAAGGAGCGAACACTCCTTATCAGATCCCTTATGGTCGATTTAATATGGTCGTGCGGCGTCACGACGAGAACCATGTTCTCAAGCCGTCTCGCCTGCAAGCACGCCAGTTCAAGACCGGCCGTGAGGACCGACCTCGAGCTTGCCCGGTCCAGCTTGAACCGCGGCGTACCGTCCTCGTTGAAGAGGTCGGCAGCCGCGAGCTCCCCGCAATTCCTCCGCTTCGCGTCTGGAACCCTTCCGGGTGTATTCACGAGCGGGATTGGTACCTCTGGAGGAGTATCATCCAAGGTGACCGTCACGATGCCATCTGATGTCGGGGACGCTTCTTTGCGCTTTCCCCGCATAGTTTCGTCCTCACCTATTGTTCCCGCACTAATCAATTCGGGCGGACTACGTCCCTCCACGCGCGAGTTTCCCGACCCACTACCACCATTTTGGGCTAGCCAGTTGGTATAATCATACGCCTCGACGGCGTCTCTTAGACCCATACCTGCGTCGAAGAGAGTGAGATCACTCTTATGCCGAGATAGGATCTCGCTGAGGGCAAGTCTAGCGGCCTTAACGACACGATCGGTCGCGTTGTCGCTGTCTCCCCTCAGCGCAGAGACGCAGCGAGACATTAGGTTCGCCCGCTCTGACTCCTCCATCACTCTCTCAAAGGGATTATATGGTTGAGTCCGTTCCGGGCTAAAACCGCCACTTGCAGCGAGGTCCTCACGCATCATGCGCAATATAGAGTCTACCGACATACGGAAGTCCCAGGGGGACCGGAAGCCTCCGTACGGTAAGAACTCCAAACTTTCGCGCTCCAATCGCGGCTGGATTTGCGTCTATTTCTCGTGATCGGAGCGGGACAAAGGAATCTCGTTTGTAAAACGAGCCCTTATGTCCGACCACTCCTCTACCGATTCCCGGCTGATGCCTACGCATCGGGCAGTAACCTCGGTGGCCCTAAGGCCACCGGAGGATGCCTGCTTGCCACATCCTCCAGCAGTAACTTGGGTGCGAACGCCCCCTGTACCCTGCCTCACCAGTCCCACGGTTTCGATGCAGTCGCTAGATGACGACCGGGTCGAGCCTGCAACAACACTCTTCCCAGCCGGTCCTGAAGGATCCGAACTTTCTGGAACCGTAACGGTATATTTATAATGGTTTCCTTCCATGATTGGTTTTTACGGGTGTCCTTCCCTGCGTTTTACCTACCGCCAGGGGATTTGTTTTCGGTGTTACCTTCACCTAGGTGGTCGCCTTACCATGCTATCGGATCCACCCGCCCGTTATGAAATTACCCTCGATCGCTACCGCTTATTCGTCCACTCTAGGAGTGGCTTATATCACGGCTACCCTGCATATCTGCAGGGTTAACGAGCGAACGAGGAGCTCATTGCCCGCGACCGCTTATTCGTCAGTCCGATTCCGCGAGCTAGGGAGACTGCGTTCGTGCCAACGTTTCGTAGCCCCGTAGAGCCCGATCCAACCGACACTGTAGCGCAGCGAAACGGGATCCCTCGTTCACTTTTTTTTTTTTTTTTTAATTTTCTCCGATTGGCTTGGTTGTAGACCGCCCTGGAACTACCGTTAGGTATTACTTCAGGGCGGCCCACGCCGTCTTTAAAACTCACACCACCACGTTGTGAATCAGCCCGAAATTAAACAAGAGCTGATTCACAACGTGGTGTGGCCTCCCCCGTTAGCCGGATCCCAGAGTGGGATCCGTTGCCCAGGTTGCACCACGTGAAGGTGGGGGCAGGACTTTGCGAAGGGGGCACAAATAACTCACGAAACAAAAACATAAAACACGAATACCTAAGACGCCGACCTAAACCAGCGCCTCAGGTACTCCTGTGCCGGGCGGCGTGGCTGCCTCTGTCTCAGGCGTTCCGCTTCCTCCTTCTTTAATAAGACGGATTCGGCGAACGCCTGGACGAGCTTTCACGCCTCCCGACTCCTCAACATCAGGTCCACCATGGACCCGACTCGAAACGTGGACCTCAGTCGAGACTCCAAAGAGTCCCGCTCCTGGGCCCACGCCTTGCACCGGAAGAGGGTGTGCAGTGCGCTATCAGCCTCTCCCAGGCGATCCAAACAGTGGTCGCACGTCGGCGCGGCTGCTTTATGAATACGGTGTAAGTACTTGTTAAAGCAGCCGTGGCCGGACATCACTTGGGTGAGACGATAAGTCATCTCACCGTGAGTCCGGTCCACCCACCTGTCCAGCCGATCGGGTTCGAGGGACCGGTTGCGTTCTCAGCGGAGCTCATGCCTGGCGGCGCGTACTTCAGTAACCCCTAGTAGTAGTTAATAATCCAAATAAAAGGAGAGTTTGGATTTAACAACATACAATATATGATTTTAATGAGCTTTTCAGCATATATTATATTTTAATAAACCCACTATAATCATGACCCGGCTCAGTACACTAATATAGATTATAGACATTCTCACAAGGCGGCTGTGGAGAATAAATCCCCTATGATGAAAATAAATATATAGTAAAAATAGAATTTAAAGATAGCAAGGATAAAAAAAATTCTTATGTATATCAACCCTCTTGTCCTACCAGAAAAAGTCTAAGAACTCTTCTAGTACAGATTGACATCTACTAATATCACCATCACAAAACCCATCGGATACACGTGAAGAAACATTAGTAAATTTATTTAGAGAAAGAGTGTTTTTTACTGGTATAGAGTTCGAACCCTTAATATGTCTAAAGTACGACGTCTCTAAATTAAATTACATACAAATTATTTTATGACGTTAAAATTAGTAAATGTTTAATTCGGCAGCCTATTTTTTTCATAAAAAACAAGTTTAGGGGGCGTTTTTTCCTTAATCATAAAGCTTGTTATGAAAGCATTAATATAATATAGGTTTAATTTATATGGAATGAATGAGAGTTTGATAAAATTGGGGACTTACGCTCCTCAAAAAAACTTCTAATAAAAGACTATAGTTTAATAAGCGAAACAAGTGGTTCATACATAAATTATAACTTTATACAGTAGGGGATGCATTTTAAAAAGTTAACTTTTATAATTATTATAAATTAATTATCTTTAATTAAATCTTTAGATAGTGTTTAATTTTAAAAATTGGTGGATTATTCCAAAAGCTACATGATCTGCTATTTCCTTATTTATATACTGAATGAAAAAGGGATTATTAAAAAATATTATTTCTAATAAAAAAATTGTGTTGATCCATACACTTTTCAGTATGTTATAGCATTATAAAGTTAAAAATGTAAAAAATAAAATCGAGAATTTTCATACAAAAATAGCATTTGGTAGCCATTTTCACCACGAAGACAAGTACAGAGGTCAAATTTTTTTTTCCATAATAAAGTATATTACATTACCTTTAATTTAAAATATATATAAAAGTGTCAGACCTTCCGGAACACTTTCAAAAGTTAAGTTGAAAAAATTTTACTTTCTATATGCATTATTTAGATTTGAAGCCCCCTCCGTATATAGGGAAATGGTCTGATTTAAAAAAAAAGTATGTCAAATGAAAGATGTATATAAATACTACTTTTCATAGAAAAATTGTATTGATCCATATATTTTTTAAAAAGTTATAGCATTTTAAAGTAAAAAATGTAAAATATAAAATCGAAAATTTTCACACAAAAGTAGCATTTGGTAGCCATTTTCACCATGAAGATAAGTCCAGAGATCAAATTTTTTTTTTCAAATTAAAGTATATTACATTAGCTTTAATTTAAGATATATATAAAAGTGTCACACCTTCCGGAACACTTTCAAAAGTTAAGTTGAAAAAGTTAATTTTTTGTGAAAAAGTTGTCATTTTAAATCCCCCCTGTGGGCAGGTAAAAAGTCAGATTTATAAAAAAAATATATCAAATGATAGGTAAAGACATCAAGCATCTATAAAAAAATTATATTAATTTGGTAATTTTTGAAAAAGTTATGGCAGTTTAAGTAAAAATAATTGAAATAATTTCGAAAATTAGAGATTTTTAAATTTGTAGTTTTTTTGGAGATTTCTCCCGTTTACGAGGAACGAGGGAATTTTTTTTAATTTTTGAGAGTAATGTCTTCGACTAGGTACGATTTGTGATCTTTTGACGTATCGTTGAAAGAAATCCGTTCGATGAGAGCTGAAAAAAAGTGGTAACAGACACAAAAAAATAAAAAATAAAACACATCATAGTAAAACCAATACCTTCTAAGCTTCTCATCGAAGCTAAAAATCTTTATATGTAAAAATGATTAAGTATGACACGACAAATTGTGATGAAATTGTCTACCGAGAATCTCATAATCTACAGAAAAGTAAATTATTCTATGGACGAACTGGAACCTACAATTTTTAGGTTGGGTTGTCTGTCCGTTTATAGTCTATTAACGAACGGACAGAACATAATTTTAAAATATCCTTAGTCCTGTGGGACTAAAAACTTTATCGGTTTTCCTACCAACATTTGAACAGACAGACTGTTCAATATGAATCATTGCTTAGACTTTTAAATTCGTTAAANAGACTGTTCAATATGAATCATTGCTTAGACTTTTAAATTCATTAGCATTCGCTGTGTTAAAGATATTAGGAACATATCAAATTTATTATAAATATATTTAACTGTATGTATTCAGGGGCGCCAATGTTAAATTTTTAAGTATTGCATAATAAAAAAAAATTACTGTAACACACCACCACCTCCAAAATTTGTTTTCTTGATTACTTATTCTTTAAGTAAATAGAATGTTATTGAATGTAATATGAGGACGACTGAATTAGCGTCGATAATGTGGGCGATCGTGTCAAGTGGAAGTTTAGGATAAAGGTGGCCGACCCCAAGTATTTGGGATTAAAGCGAGGAAAAAAAGACTTATTTTTTAAGTATCTTTTTCATGAAATCAATTACAGTAATTAGAATATGTTTCTCTATATATCACCCATTATATATGTATATATATATATATATTGGCTCCATTTAAAAATTGGTTTATTGAATAAAAAAATCAAATACTGATCCTCTAGGATAAGTATCAACAGCATTGGTTATAACACGTGATTTGTTTGATCATTTAATATGTGTAGGTACATAACATGCGTACACAAATGTCATCACATGCTGCAGCTCATTTGTTTATTAGTCCACTCGGTGTGTTCGATCATTACCGCTGTCGGTGTGCTGTGCTGTTAGGAACACTGCCGCAGACTCTAAATAGCGATAGAATTATACAATAACAATGTTAAAGTAAAAACGTTGTGCCGGACCTCAACGTTATTATTGTTAAATTATAGTTGTTCGAGTTAAGCAGTAAAGCGGTTTCAGTTATACGTTACAACTTATAATTTTCGCGTTCTAATGTGTACGCATGCGTTTGTGCGTTTTCTATTTTAAGTAAGCTGTGAGTTTGTATTTGATTTATTATTTGTAGATTTTTATTATTACGCCGACTTAAAATATATTGATAAAATATTTAAGGTAAGTAGGAATATCACTTCACTTATTGGTATCTCATTTCAATAGAATACAAAATTCATAATTCATGATACGTCATTTAAATATCTCCAAATCAAAGTCAATTCTATAAATAAACAATTAAAATATTTTAAATAACAGCGTATGTAACCAGGCTAAATTTGTATATCAATTTCCGATATAAACCGTTGTAATTTTTATTAACATAATAGTAACAATATATTGAGATGTATTGTAAAATACACTGTATTGGGCGAATTAGCTTAATTATAAGAAATAATATCAAAACAATTATCCAAAAAAGAATTTTAATCATCCTTCATTATTCAACACATGATATTATGTGTATGATTGAAATATTTATCATTCATTTTGTTACCGCTAAATAATTAAAAAAAGGGAAAGTTTTATGTAAAGAATTTAATTATTTACAGTAATTATTGGATATATAGCAATAAAAATATTTATTAAAAGAAATTTATCATCATAATGAACTCGTCCATTGAAGTATAGTTAAATTTTATTTTAATTTTACAATTTATAGAGAAACTTTTTTTAGTACAACTCAGAAAATTCACGACTAAAGAAACGCCATGATCAAAGTCGACGAATCTGATCCGGTCGGAGGTAATAATAGATAAATTTTTTTTAATTTTTAATTTAAAAATCTTGTCATAATAAATTGTACTTCAAAATTATCATTAGACTTGTAATAAATAAATACATTTTAGTAAGAACGCTGATAGCTAAAAACAAACGTTAATTATATAGTGTCACTTACAATGAATTCTAATGTGGGAAAACAGAACCGTTTCATCTCAGTCTTAAAAATATTTGCATTACCAGCTGACTGTGGGTGAGATGGTAGTGGATATGAAATGCTATATTTAGACTGACCTCGACGGGCCGCTACATTCCCGCTTTGTTTGATTTTTTTTGTAATTATTATATACTAATATCTTTTGGCAACCTAATTCGTTCATTTTTTTCTTGCATCCATTAAAACAAGGATATGTCCTTAAAATAAAAGATTATAGAAGTACTGACTTATTTACAAAATAAATGTATTAGCTACCAGAATAGGTTCCTAAAAAGGATTACTATTACGTAATTATAGAAAAGATTTTCTCACCTATTTTATTTAGTCTCTAACTACTATATGCGATGTTTATGAAAGTATTGGCATAGTTCTAACCACACGCTAAAAAACAACAATAAAAAAGTGCAAAAATATTTCACAAACCCGAACAAAAACTCTACATTAAACTTTATTAATTGGCTCTTTTTAATTTTGAGTATGTTATAGAAATGATTCATTGAATAAATGCCAAAGAGTTACACAAGTAAAATATCATATACAAATTAAAAGAAAACGGCATGTTTAAAGACACATACTGTTTAATGAAACTTTACATATTTTTAAGAAATATAAAATAATTCTGATGATATATGAAATTATATATTTTGTGATTGATAAAATTGTTTATGTTAATACAATATTTTACATTTCTAAATAAATATTTTATAAAGATTTTAATAAAAAAATGAATTCTATTTAAACTTTCAAAAATTCCTGAGCTTCATCTTGCATTCTATACTGCATATTTTTGACTTCACTACACCAGGAATCTAATCTGTTAATCATGCCAGATATTGGAGTTTTGTTCATCACCCTGGGTTGTACCCATTCCAAATTCACTACTTCGTTAACTTGATCAATTTTACCTCTTACTAATCCCAATGATAATGCTTTCATTACTAACATTTCAATTTGGTCTAACGATAGCTGAGTTTCTTGTGCTATTTCCTGGAATGACAAGCATCTATTTTTAGCTTGCCGCTTAAATGTCATTTCCATAAGACACAACAATGAAATTTTCTGTCTTAGTTTATGTTCTTGGACAGCTATATCAGGAATAGATGCCCACTGTGGCTTCATTTTGGCAAATTTTGTAATATCCCCGTTATTAAAAGCATGTAATAATTCAACTAGCCAGTAGTTAGAGGTATTTGTTAAAGAATCCAAAATAGGATGCATTAACAATTCTCCAAGATTATAAATATCATCACTTAGTAAAGCAGCAAGACCTAATAAAAATGCATTCTTCAATTGGTCTTGTTGGTTTATTGTTGACAAGTCTATTGCACCTAGATACTTTAAACAGGTGCGATAGTATTCAGTATGCTTCCCTTGAAGACGATATAATTGGCTAGCTAACAAATAGTATCGACTATGAACAGGAGATATTTCATCTAGATCACTTAACAACTTGTCAATTTCTGTAATGAGAATTAAAGTTTCTGGTTGATTTTTCAATTTTTCTAATAAAATTTCACCTCTTAATACTTTTGCAAAAACTAAAGCTTCAATATTATCCTTAACTTTTGTCTCAATGGTTTCTAAAAATGCAACTGCCACTTTTGGATCTTTGTAAAGTGGAATTATGTATGAAATTATTTCAACAAGAGCAAAATAATTCATTTTGGATTCAATTGGATGAATAAATTTGGAATAAAAATACAACAAATTAGCTTTTTTCTGAACATTGGGGTCTTTAACATACACTAAAAGCTTTAAAGTTAGCTGATGCCAAAGTTTTTTAGCTTGTAATTCTTCTAACTCTGATATTTCAATTTCTTTTTGAGCCATTATAAATCTAAAAAATATTGGTTAAACTATTAATTTAAATATTTATAAATACAATTTTAATTATTTGTTAGTAGTCTGGGATTTTTTTTTTTGTAGAGTTGGAACCAAGTTTTCCATACAAAGATATCAAAATACGAAAAGGAGTAGACATGAAAGAACATTATGACCTACAATCTGAAATAGGACGGTAAGAACATTAAACTTATCTTTGATTATAGTAAAATACAATAAAACAATATATTTTCTTATAAAAGTATGAAAAGTTAATAAGAATTTAAAATTATGCAAGATAGTTTAACAATTGTTTTATATATGGAAACTATGAATCTAATAATTTAAAAAATAAAAAGGAAGATAATTAGGTTTAAAATCATTATATTGTTTACTGTCTCAAATAGACACCTAGTCTGAAACAGATTAGCCTGTTAGGTAATGACAACCTGAGTGTTAGTTTATTTGAATCTATTTTTAAGATTTATGCTTTTAATGCCAATTGTCTAAAAACAATATAAGCAATCTAAATAATTTTATATGTATTAATAATTTGATTATATTTATTCATTTTTATAAAAGTTGGTTTATTTGAATAGTATTAATAATTAAATAAAAATATAATAAACTAGCAAATGAAAATTTTTTTAAACTTAAGAATAGTCTGACATTCAACAAAATATTTGAGAGACTAAAGAAAATAATGTAATCACAAATAATTTTTTTTTTTCATTTGTGAGGAGCAATGGTTCTTGCCCAATTTTTAGATATAAGTACAGAGATCAAGTTTTAGGGATCAAAAGGAAAATTATAAGATAATCTCATTACCCAAGATTATATTTAAAAAAAAAAACTGTATTAACTGCAGATTACTTAGAATTTTAATATACTTAAAAAAATTAATGGATAATTTATTATATTTTTAAATATTTAAAGGTAAAATATAAACTAACAAAATAAAATTTGAATCTTAAAAATGTCTATTTGAAAAATGTACAACTTTTTTATAAAAATATAATTTTTTAATAATAAATCTAAATTTTTCTTTGGTTAGGATAAATTTTTTTTTCTTGTTTTGTAAAAATATATAGCTTATAACTATAAGAAAAGGTAATATTTTGTTTTTAATATTCAAGTAATAAAATTTAAATTGTAAATTATTCATTTTAGATGTTCAACGAATGACAAAAAAAGTATACTTATTAAAGTAGGGCCATGTTTTTTAATATTAAGTAATGTTTATATTTTTTGTAATAAAATATTATTTAAAAAATTAATTATGTTAAAATTAAAAATGTATTATTAAAAAGCTCTAAAATATAAAGAGATGAAACGCTCATCATAAAACTTGTTATCGATAAAAATCTTCACTATTTAAACAGCTATATAATTAAAAAAATACTTACATAGTTTAAGGTTTTTAGCTTAAAAAAATTAGATTTAATACTAGTTTAGTTGTTAAGATTAGTTAAACAAAGTTCAGAATTATTAAGTGATGTGTTATCATTGCACATTGTTCATAACAATGATATGAGCATTATTCAGCAAATATATCCAGAAGTTATCCATACAGTAGTGCCAACTATTTAAATTATCATCATATGTTCTTGCATTGAAAGTGATTATTCTCAATCCTCAAATACTCGTTACAGTTTTGAAAATGATTATTACTCGTATATATATATTGATTAGTAATTAAAAATGGTACGAATTTTTAATTATTTATATTTGTATTACTATATCAAGATATTATTATGCACTATTAGATGTATATAAATTGCTTTCTTTTTATTAAGTCTGATTCAAATTTTTAATTTATTTTATCGTACCCGTTGAATTTACTTACAAATAAATAATAATCAAATTTGAAAGTTTGATTTCCCAGATTTGTTGTGTTAATAATTTCTTCATATCAATTATGCTTAAAAATTTTTAAATCTATTTATCATACCTAAAATGTAAAATATATATAATGAAAATTATACAAAAAGGTATGTTAATGGGGATTTATAATTTTTCTATTACTTTAAATAACTTTTTCTTAGCAATAAGAAATTTATGAATGTGTTAAAACTGTCATGGATTGTCTTGTTGCTTGAGGATATATCCATGTTTACAGTTGAGTTCTGACGTTTCGAACTCATTGCAGAGTCCATCTTCAGAGTGATGGTTGCTAGTCGGTGGCTGCAACTATACTCAAGTATAGTGTAGTATAGACTCTGCAATGAGTCCGAAACGTCAGAAATCAACTTTAAACATGGATATATCCTAAAGCACTTCAAGCAAATAAGAAATTTAATTTTTTTTTGCATATCACCTTTTTATAGTATCGGTAGGGGTCTCCAGCTTTACGTATATTTTAGATTACAACTTAGGATAATGTTACCAGTGAATGAACTCCATTGAATATTTAACTAAAAATTGTCTTCTCTGATTGTAACAAGTTGTTGACAGTAGTTTTTATTACATGAAAAAATTAAATTAAGTCATACTTCAATATCAATTTTTTTTGATATTATATCAATAACTGATCATTCACTGGAAAATTACAATTTTAACATGAAATGATAAATTAAAATTTTTGGGTTCGTTAATTATAAAAATTTTTAAATTATAATTATAAAAAATTTTTTTGAGAATAATTATTAAAAAATTATTAACTGTTCGTTGACTAATGAGGTCATTTTATTTGTTTTTAAAGAAAAGTTCCTACAACTTGTAGTTGTAAGAGTCCCTGTGAACAACTCATCCATTAATCCAGATCTGGATAAAATGTCAATTTTATTCTTGTAATCTGTTACTGAATAGAGGTATTTTACTCTTCTAGTTATTTAGGGGACCAGTTTTGTTCAAAAAATTATGTTCTTATTCTTCAGTCACTCAGAAGTTTTTTACTTCCGATAGATTTTTACATAATTTTAATGCTTGTTTTGTTAAAAATAAGATACATATTATATCGAAAGTCAAAAAAATTGTAATGTTTTTATTTTCAGTTATTCATTGATAATTTATACATAATATAAATTAATGATTTAGAATTTATTTTAAAGGGGAAAATTCGGCACAGTGTTCAAATGCCGAGAAAAGTCTACGGGCCTCATGTTAGCTGCTAAGTTTGTCGGAATTGTACACAAACAAGACAGATGTAACGTAGAACGAGAAGTAGAGATCATGTGTGAACTTCAACATCCTCGACTCATTCAACTATACGACGCATTTGAAGCTAATAATGCTATGTGTTTTATACTTGAACTGTAATTATTCAATTATTTGATTTTATTTAATTAAAGTACATCTTTGATGAGTAAAATGTGTAGGGGAAGCCGTGGCAAGTTGACATAAGTCAATTATTTATCAAAGAGTTTAAATTGGACAAAATCTAATTGCACCATTTTATTAATAATATTTTTAAAGAAACATTAAAATATTTTTTTAATTTTAGTTATTTATCATAGAAATGGTAATTTTGAGGTAAAAAGTAAATTTTAAGCAGTTTGGAAAAACCTATAAGTATACGAAATATAACTCCTAATAAAATTTTAATATTTGAAATTAAGTTTAAGATATGTCTTTTTTATTATTTTCATAATAATTTATCCTCAAAAAAAGATCATTTTAAATAAGTTGAGTAATAAAAATTGATCGCTTGTGGCTTAAATTATTAAAAATTAAAAATATTAATTTAAAACTAAATATTTAAGTTGAATAAAATAAAAAAATCATGGGCTAATTGGTACATGTTGGCATGATACATAAACACAGGCTTAGTTTAGTCTTAAAACCTATGTCAAAATCTAATATTTAATAAAAATAATCTTAAATAATGTTTTTGAGAGATTAAATTCATAAATATTAATATTAATTTATCTTGTATCTTCGTCTTCCTCGCCTTAATCCCAACTACTTGGGGTCGGCCATTTTAATTAATTTATGATATTATCAATTTTTTAATTATTTAGTTTTTTAATGAGAGTGAAAAAATGATCAAATTAATCAATATATTAACAGTTTCTGTTTATTTCATTAAAATTTTAATATTAAAGAAATTTGTCAGTCTTAAGTATAGATATATTAAGTATTGTGTTGATTTACCTCATTGCTGCAACAAGTTGACACAAAATTTATTTTTAACGTTTTCATCTTAGTTTCTAAATAGGGTAATAATTCAAAAAAATAATTTTGTCATATTAAAGCTTATGTATTTTTGAAACTATCTGGGAAACTTTATCTCTTTATCTGAAATATTACTTATATAAGAGCGAAAAGCGTAAAAAGTGAGTCAAATAGCCTTGGTCTCCCTCATATATGGTTAAAATTTAGTTATTATCAAATAAATGTTTAACAATAACAAATTATTAAAAATATATTATGCAGAATTGAAGGCGGAGAGCTATTTGAAAGGGTAATTGATGATGATTTTATTTTAACTGAAAAATCAGTAACTGTATTTATGAGACAAATATGTGAAGGCGTACAGTTCATTCACTCCAAAAATATTCTACATCTTGATCTAAAGGTATTATACATTTATTTTTTTATATAAAATATGGTTTATATTTTTCACGGCCTTACATTCCATGTCTTACCATCAAGGCTACCTCACCTTCTGTGATAACCATCAGTTACCACAGATGATCTTCTACTATTTTATTCGTGTCTCTATACTTTCCTATGTTTTTTATTTGGTGATCTTATGATAGCTTATAACATCTGTTCTATAAAAATTCTTATAAAAAAAATTCTTAGTTATTCAGGTCATTTTTAGCTTCGATGCCAAGCTGAGAAGGTATTGGTTTTACTAAGATGTGTTTTTTTTTTTTTTTTTTTTTTTTTNTTTAGCTTCGATGCGAAGCTGAGAAGGTATTGGTTTTACTAAGTTGTGTTTTTTTTTGTGTCTGTTACCACTTTTTCTCAGCTCTCACCGAACGGATTTCTTTCAACGATACGTCAAAAGATCACAAATAGTATCTAGTCAAAGATATTACCCTTAAAAATTGAAAAAATTTCCCTCTTTCCCCGTAAATGGGGGAAACCTCCAAAAAAATTACAAATTTAAAAATCGCTAATTTTCGAAATTTTTTCAATTTTTTTTACTAAAAACTGCCGTAACTTTTTCAAAAATAAACATATCAATATAATTTTTTTTT